GGTGGTTCACAGAGAGTGTGTGTGTTTGTACATATAGAGTCGAGAGATGTAAATTCTGTTTCCGAGAAGGCCAACTTCTTCTTTCTTTGCCACGGGTGGCTGGAATGGAGGGCCGCGTTATATAAGGGATTTAATGTCAACTTTTTTTTCTTCGTGAAAACTTGGTCTCCATGTCCCCTTCCTGGTTGTGTCGGTGTCTGTTGGATGTTATCTCCTTGCTTGATCGGGATGGTACAGGGGTATCTTGGAACCGATGTGGTGGTCACTTCACAAGCATATGTTTCTTACTTGACGTTCTGTAGACGCTCTCACGCACCGCGCTGGGAAGAAACGTTTCATATGTACACGTTCCATGTACACATGACACTGTCGCATACCGCTACCGACGGTAACCTATCCACCCGCAAGTGCCCACCGAAAGAGCCTAGTCAAGGTGTGAAGCAAGGGCAGCATCCACTTTAACCACTCCGAATCCGCACAAGGCCACAGCATCACAAGACCCAACCACCTCAAACTTTCTTGTTCCACACAAAGCGGCCCGCAGGGATGTCATGCATGTTGCGAAGAGAAAGCTTGCACTTGAATTCAACTCACCCACCCACCACGCCTGCAACTGCAACTCACTTATACTCCTTATCAATCTTCGTCTTCAGCACAGGTCGCTCGACGGCATCCCTCCTTCGCTTCTTGGGATACGCAGACTTGTCAACAATCAAGCCAAGCAAGCTGGGTACCCCAGCTTGGCTTGATTGTTGGGTGCCTCTACTTCAGCTTAGCTTGATTAGCTTGGTGGGTTAAAACAAGCTAGCTTGATTGTTTAGCTTAATTAGCTTAATAGTTAAAGCGTTTTTAAGGCTATACAAATAGGTGGTATTAGCTATATTGTGACTTTTTTTAGAGTTAAGTTTCTGAATCGCTATTAGTATTGCTGCTGTCTCTAACGTCCTACGCGCTTACGCTGTACAACGCCTCTATCTTATTGTTAGTTATAGAGTTTCTGTTGTTGAGTTTATCGTCGCCTAGACTAGCTGTACGCTACTGTTGTACGCACTGTATTGCTGCTAGAAGTTGTAGTTGTATACCTTGTTGGCGAGGCTCTAGGAGATCACCTAACTTGCTAAACATACGCTTACACTCGCAGCTTGACGCTAGGATAGACAGTACGTTAAGCGCAAGCTTGCTAAGTTGAGAATAGCAATCCCGCATTAATAACTAGTATTTTATTAGGTTGTTAGCGTACTCGCTGCCCTTCTCTACCTGCCGCTCGCACAGCTTCTACTAGGTATACTTGTTGTTAGCTGCCTTGTCGCTGTTGCTAGCAGTTGTAGGATTAATAATGCTGTTAATTGCGTTGTCTATATTGTTTAATAGTACCTTTAGGTGTTGTACAGCTAGTTAACTAGTATTGTATTAAGCCTACAAGCCGCGGAAACTAAGGTTGTTAGACTTAAGCTAGCTAGGTTTCTTAGTACCCTAGGATTTGTCGCAATACAATTAGTAATATAGGTAGAGTATCGTAGCTGCGTAGTAGGCGGGCGATAGGTCTAATTTAGAGTAATACTCGCTAGCTTTCGCTTACGCTGCGCGCATGTTAATCGCAAAGTAGTCTTTAGGCGCCTTGTTGTAGGCGTTATACTTAACAGCTTTGTAAGCTAGTACGCGCGATTTGTAGTAGTTAAGTATATACTTAAATACTAGGATAACTTTAGCGATACAGCTAAACCTCTTGCTGTTGCTGCGCCCCTTAAGGCGCTTTGTAGCAGCTTTTAGCAGCTTTAAAGCGTTTATATACTCTGTAACTACTGCCTAATTGTGCGTTGTAAGGCTGTCTAATCTTATCTAGTGTAGCGCGTAAGGCAGTTTGTTGCGCCGCAACTTAGCGTAGGTATCCTCGTCCTGTATACGCTTTATATAGTAGCTAGCGTACGCGTTAATTGCTAGTTAAAGCTGTACAGCGCGCTTAAAGCACGAGTAGAAGGAGTTCTAGCGTGTAATAACAGGCTTAACAGGCTTAAGGATCTTGCGTTTATTAGGAGGTACGTTAGCTAGTAGCTCGCGATAGGCAAGGCGCTAAAAGTTAGCAAAAAGAGCGTATTACTGTAGTGTTTTAATATAGTTAATAATACCTAAGAGTACGCCTAAGGGCCTATCGCGCCTCTACTCGCTTATATACTTGCTTTTAGCAGTAATCTTAGCAGTATTATTGTTGTATAAGGCACTGTTTTCTCTCTAGAGGAGTATTTAGCTAACAAGGTTAATTGTATAAGGACTATAACAGAGGCGGCGATAGCGTAGGTTAAAGCCTATTGTTAGCGCAATTACGTCTATCGCGGTGTTGTTATTGCTTGCGTTGTCGAGTATAAAGTAGCTAATACGTTAAGCGTTTATACTAAACTCTTTTAACGTTTAGATAACAACCTTTGCTATCCTATGTCTACTGTAGGCGCCTGTTAACTATAGCAGCGCGATAGGTAAGTCTACAATATCGCCTTGCTTGTTAACGTAGTAGGCAACGATACCTAAGAACCTACGCTTGCTACTCTTTGTTGTCTAGCTGTTAAAACTTATGTGTATTTTGCTCTGTGCCTGCGATAGTTCTGTAACAACTTGCGGCTGTAAGTAGTTGTACAGGCGTATAACGTAACGAGAGACGCTGTTGTAGGACGTCTACAGTGCTGCTTCTGCTTAGACGTTAGCTAACGATATTAATTGTTAAAAAGCTAGCGATTTAAACGTAGACAGTAGGAGGTTAGCTTTAATAAGCTAGCTAACTGCGTTAAGCTAAAAGCGCTAGGAGTTAAAGCTAGAGAGCTCGTTCGCGATACTCTAGCTAACCTAATTGCTAGTAAGTACTTATTAGAGGACACTTATTGTTGTAGAACGAGCTGTTACGTAAGGTAGTTAGTAGCTATAGCTGCGTCTCTTCTCTCTAAGGTGTTAATAGGCAAAAGACGTTAAGTTTGTTGTTTTGTATACCTTCGTAACGCTAAGGTTAATAAGCTTATGCTTGTAATAATAGCGGCATACGAAATATATGCGTTAAGGATTGCTTCGCAGCGCGACGCGCTAGCTGTAGTTATAGACCTAGCTTTTCTTGTAACGCTGTAACGCTATAAGCTTTATAAACTAAGGGAGACGATCTTAATTAATGCTATTAAAGTTATCCTCTAACTCCTCGTCTAAAGCTGTATTGTTAGACTCGCTAGTTGCTATTGTTGCCTCCTCGCTACCCTTAGTAGGTGGGTTAATATACTCCTCTATTTGCGACTCGCGCAATTGCGCTTTAAAACTTAATACCTAAGACGCTTTAACTAGGGCTTTATAGGGCGACAGACGAGGTGACGATTAAGGGCTTTTAATAGGTATAGCTTAGCTGTAGGTGCTGCTAGGTGTAGGTTTAGGACGCTTTGTTGTTAACGCTGTAACAGCGTCTTTAGCGCGTCTCTTCTGCGGTATAACTGCGACAAGGATATAGCAATAAATGCAGAAAGCTAGCGGCAATACAGCAGCGCGTAGGCAGTACGTGATACAGCTAAAAAGTACGTGTTGTAGGTGGCGTTGTGTATACAGAGTTGTATAGTTACAATATAAGATAGTTACTTAAGTAGCACGAGATGTATTGCTTAGCACCTTCTATTGTAACTACTAAAAGCAACTACAACAACGCAACAATTAATTAAATTTAACAGCAGCAATTAAATTATAGTTGTCTGTTTGTAAGATACGCAGCGTAATATACTGTAAATATTGTGTTGTAGTTGTACAATTGCGCAGTTAAAACAACGCGTTTTTTTATTATTTACAATATCTACCTTTACCTGTAGCAATAACTTTAATACTATAGATATATATAGTAATATTAGGCCTATAATTGTCTCTACTACGCCTAGCAAGCAGTAGTAGAGGTGTATAATAGCTACTGTATTTGTACTTGCTAGTGCTATAGTGTGTTGCCTACAGTCGCCTGAAGCAGGCAGCTGTTAGCAACACACTGTAGTATTAGGAGATTTTTTTTTGCTGTATTTAAATCGCGGCAGTAATAGCTCTATCGTAAGGTTTTTTTGTATATATATATATATATACAGCGTTGTTAGGAATTTTTTTTGTATATTAGTTGCTAACCTTAACACTAAAAAAGTATCGTGTAATCGCTGCTACGGCAAACCTAACAACCTCACGCGTAGGCCTTAGCTAATCAAGCTAATTAAGCCAAACAATTAAGCTAGCTTACAGCAGCTTAGCTTGATTGATTTGTACCTCTACTCTAGCTTGGCTTGATTGATTAGCCAGCTTGATGCGCCAGCTTGATAGCGATCAAGCTGGCTTGATTGTTGACAAGTCTGCTGGCGACAAACGAGAGGCAGGTTTGGATGTCGATACTCGGTCTGGTAAGGTTTGACGACGACGGGAGTGCCTCCGGGCCATTTGCTGGGCCGAAAGTAGTAGCATGTGTTGTCAAAAACGTGGGCGTAGATACCGTTCCTGATCTCGGGGGGAAGACGCAGAAGTGGAGACTCGATGGCGTTGCGCTTGGTGCTAAAGAAGAACTGTTAGATATGGAGTAGTTGATCCAGATAATCAGAACCTCACATTTCCTCGCGCTGAGCGGGGTCGCGCCGACGCTGCTTGCTAGTTGCAGCTTTGCGACGGGCCTGGTCAAGCATCCTCTATCTGAAAGTCGTGTGATGTGTTGATGGAGAAGTAGTAGATTCGGAAGCGTGGGCGATCTTTCTTGCAAGAAAAGAAGGTGAGTAGGTAATGGAACAGAAGAGGAGGGTGGGTGAAGAGCGAACGAGTGAGAGAGACTTTGCCAAGATTATGGTCCTTGCTGCCAGTAGCTCAAGGTGAACGTGAGTGTTAGAACCTATGACCATGTATTTGAATTTCTATAGTATCCAGGAGCGCACCACAGTTCTTCTGATCTCACATATAAAGGCCAAATACAGCTAGCAGCCAATCACTACCACACTCGCTGTCTGTCGACCAGAAGGCCATGACGGCTATGTGAGCTGTAATGTTGCGGCCCAGTACACCCCAGTTCCCATCACCGCCATCTTCATGTAAAGGCTATCGTAGCATCCGACCCAAACCATGACTTCGATCTGTGCCTTTGATTGTCCCCGGAGAAATCCCTTTAAATGAAGCAATACTGAATGCTCGTAGCTATGATATAGTAGCTGGAAGACTGCGAGCTTGTACGGCAATAATACTGTTTCGTGATATAATTGACGAGAAACGAGAAGCAGGCTTAAGTTACGGCGAAGGCTGGGGTAGTCCTCCATCCAGTAGCCGGGACCGATGCAGTAACGCTCGTCTTGGAACACATGGTTGAAGACCATGTTTCGGATCTCAGCAGGAAGGCGAAAGAGCGGAGAGCTAGTGGCGTCTCGCTCAGTTCTGTTATCATCGTTAGCTGTAGATACATGCAATACAAGCTGGAATTCTTACATCTGGCGAAGTGCTTCGCGCGACTGAGCTTGATCGCCGAGCTTTTGCCTTTCAGACGCACCAGATCCTGGCGACGCGGTGTTCTCAGAGACACTGTTGCTCATGACAGAGGAGTCTGTGAGTGACAGAAAGAGTGGAAGAGTAATGTGAACGTAGACCAGTTCAGGAGACTTTTCGAGTGATGCCAAGACAAAAATAATGACAATCGAGACGCGCCTTCCTTGCTGGGTTGACCAACGTAGGTAACAAGTCAGAAAGGTCAACTCGCGTCACCAGTGAACAATCAGATTTCCATGCTGTTGTTACGTCTCACTGCTCACTGAACATACATAAACGACAAGCCACCCAACCCTACAGCTTCACCTGTATCACCATCGTTGAGAAGACCTCTCATGCATGTGATTGAGAAGAAGACCACGGCACGAAGATACTTGAAACTGTAATTTATATTTCGAGAATGTGATGAAACGCATGCACACCTTTCGGGAAGAGTAATCCAGCAACACCCGTCAATCATCACAACACCAACATATAAACGCCAACGTACTTGATCATGTATTCGCAAACGTGCTTAGCAGCCACAACGAGGTATCATACAAACTGAGGAGCCAGAACATGAGAGAGCAAGCAAAAAGAAGGAAACACAAAATCCACCAACGCACAAACCAAAAACAATAAGGAAATCAACAAACATATATACCAGACGACCAAACCCCGAACCTAACCTCCAACCCCCATTCTCCAAACACACACTTTCATTTATCCTCCCGTCCTCACTATTTAACTAAATCCTCTCATCCCTCTCCGTCGCGCCATAGCCCGCCGGCTTCCTAGCACGACCAGTAACATCACTCCACGCAGCACCGAACCTCCGTCCCGTGCTAGCCAAGAGACCCTCCTCCTCCTCCTCCTCCAGATCCCGATCAATCTGTTCCTGATCCAGACTAGGAGCTTTAAACAGCGTAGTCAAGAAGACGACCAGGTAAACACCCAAGAAGGCGAACTGAGCCCAGAAGAGGACGACGCCGAAGAAGGGGAAATTGATCGTGACGCGGTTGATAAAGGTAGATAGAACGGAGGGCGTGCAGACTTGCTGGGCAGCAGGGTTGGTGGCGAGTTCGCTGCACGACTTGATGAGGTCCTTGTGCTCTGTGCAATCGGGTTGTTCATCGAGGCTGTTGGTCTTCATGTCGCAGTACGTCTGCGGGCCCCAGGTAGCATATTGAGGAGCAACGACCATGGCGACGGAGTAGTTGATGGCGAGGGTAATGAGTGTCAGCAAGACGGTAGCCATGAGGAGTGCCTGAGGCGAAGTGTGTCCCTTGCGGATCTTGAAGATGGTAACCCACAGGAAGCGGATACCGGCAGTCGCGATTCCAACGACAGAGGCGGAGAAGAAGAAGAGGACGAGCAGAAGGAATAGAATGTAGTCGATGGGGAAGACCTTGGCGGACTTGACGAGGATGTAGTTTAGCGGCTGGAAGATATTGATGTGGCCGAGGATGTAGCCGCAGTGGGCGCCGCAAATGGAGTTTTTCGCCTTGTCGATACCAGTGATGAGCATGGAGGCGAAGATTACAAGGGCAAAGACCATTAGGATGAGTCCACCAACGAGCTTGAGAGGGCGGAAAAAGGCTTCCGTCTTTATCCACGCTTTGACGATCCAATGGCGGTCTTGGCCAGAGGATTCAGCGGCAAGACGCTCGCGTCGGATGAGAGTACGCTCTTCGCGGACAAGAGCTTCGAGTTCGCGGCGGTCACGGCTGTCGAGGCCGTTTTGGCTGCCTTCGTTGCGTCCCTCGAGCTGGCGTTGGCGCTCGCGGTTGCTCTCTAGCTGGGATGCGGTGTTGGCGGCGAGGGTAGGGGCTGAGACGGAGGGCGCGGATTTGATCATGGCGACGGGGAGGAGAGCCATGCCGGCGCCGGTGTAGAGGACGAAGAGAATGGTGCCGACGGTTATGAGGAAGCCGAGGCCAAAGGATAGGGCGCGTTCGCCATCTAGACAGGTTAGTGTACACGAGGGGGGACATGAAAGAATTGCTGCTTACGGTTCTCGGATAGCAGGTGCTTGAAGTAGTCGAGATCGAGGCGCTTGTCATCTTTGGCTTGCTTCGCAAAGGGAACGAAGAAGCCAACGAGGAAGATGGCGACGACGAAGATGAGGAAGCCAAGAGTCCATTTCAGCGCTCCTCCAATGCGCTGGCCAGCCGTCTGCTCGCCATGCTCGGCCGCATCCTCATCATACTCCTCGTACCAGAAGTAGGTAAACGGGATGACCAGAAGACAGAGAATCGCGTCGAGCGAGTAGAGCGTGTAGTAAACGATGCGCAGCGTGTAGACGATACTGTCGACCTTTTCAGGTGTCGCCCAATCCTTTTTGCGGCCTAGACTGGATTTGGACGTAGATGAGACGAGGGCGACATCGACGGGAATGAGCAGAACTGTCGCGAGCAGGGCGAGTGTGGTGAAGATGCAGACGATGGTGACGGCAGCGGCGCGGTCGCGCGGCTTCTGGTAGACGTAGACGAACGTGGACGCGATGAGGAAGAGGATTGCCACGGCCACGGCGTAGGCGACCCAGATGAGCGAGGTCTGTATCAGCGCCATGGTGACAGCGTGCTATCACTTGAGCTGAGCTGTGGTTGAGATGAGGGGATTCCAGGTTGCGACCGACATGTTTGGGCATGACGTCTAGCGGCCTGGAACCTTGGTCGATCATGGCCGGTATAGTTAGCGCTGCCCACATCCCTGTCAAAGCTGCTGGAGCTCTCTACGCGCTAGACTGAATCGCGCAAGAGCTCTTTGACGCGACATGCGTAGGGGTTTCGGCCTTGGGCAAGGTTATTCCGAGGATTTTTTTTTGGACGATTTGTTACTTTTGTACATTCTTAAGATGAGGGATTCGCAGACAATGACTGTAGCATATACAATTTGGTGGAGCACGATCTGCAAACACATCAATAATCGTGTATATAAACGGAACATTTTCTAAATGACTTCGATGCGGTATGTAGCTACTGCTGAGTAGATTCCTTCGGTTCGCAGAGCAAACAAGTGCAAACAGAAGAGTCATCACCATGACTTCCAGGCTCGGTCCCGCGCTTCTGACCAGGGGTGATTGGTCTCGTTTTCCGTTGGTCCATGTGCAGCGTAAAACATAGCTATGCCCACAAATGTCTCTCCCTCATAAGTAGCGTCGCTCTCCTGGAACGGCATAGAAGAAACCTCTACCGGATGTATGCGATGAAATTCATCATTTCCCTCCGTTACGCGATCATATTCCTCCTCGGAAATTCTATCAAATTTAATGCGGCGTGCTGGACGCTTGTCTGTGGACCAATCTGCGCCTGGATAATGGAAGATAGTTCCGTGATAATACTCACAGAGATGATAATCGATATAGCTAGGCACTAGACCAGGTAGTTGTTTGGCTCGGTCGTTGCCATGCTGCTGCTCTTCAATATCATCATCCGAGGCCGAGTCCTTCATATCTTGTATTTGACGTGTATAATCTTCCTGTGCGGTCTCCTCGACATGTTGGATTTGACGTGTATAATCTCCCCGGGCGGCCTTCTCTTTGCGATAATGAGCAATACACTCGTCGTCAGCACTGCTATCCACGTCGGACGCAGAAAGAAAGTAGATTTCCAGACGGATCGGACACCCTGTGTTGTCGTATGGCGTTCCGCGCTTGATAGCTTTGAGAAGCTCAACCGGCTTGACAGTCTCTAGGGTCATTTGTGTGAAGTAGATGGCGAAACTGAAAAGCGGTGGGAGCGGACAGGACACCCAGCCATCGAACACCATGAGTGCTTCGCGCCCGGAGTGATCTGTGAATGGGATAACATGTGTTTTGGTTCGATGAATACGATCACTGAGCGCCGTACCGCCTCTTGGGTATCGATTTCTTTGGTAGACACGCGATGGCATGTTCAAATGGAGCAGTGTGAGTTGATGGACGTTGTTCAGGAAAGTGTATTCTTTTCTATAAGTATTGTTGCTGATTGCGTCGCAAGTTGAGCGCTTTTCGTGAGCTGACGTATCGCGATACTTGTTGGACTCTTTGGCTGTCACTGCAGTCGCTCTTGGGGATAGCGTACTTGCTGCTGAGCCTCTGCCACTGTACGTTTGGTCTCTGTCTGCGCTGCAACATTGTTATTCATAGTCATATGTGGTGGAGACGATGTTGTAGCTATCGTGAGCGACGATAGGACGCTATCTGGACCGTGCACGGTAGCGCGTAGAGAGAGCTCTTTGACGCGACGTGCAGCCATCAATTGTACCCACCACGTACTCACAACGTACTCACCACACTCACCACCGCTGTACCCACACCACTGCCATGACAAGTGTCGCCGGCAGCTTCATCCCCCACCCCCATCATGCAGTGCTACACTGAAATAGCCCCGCCCACGGCCGTGAGCCATGCCATCAACCTCCCCTTCCTGCACTCTAGATCAAACAACCTAGTCGTCGCAAAGAACTCGCTCCTCCAAATCTTCGAACTGAAATCCACCACCACCGAGGTCACGCCGGGCGGAGGGAACGAGTCGGAGAATGCAGCGGCAAACCTCGACACAGAGGCGGCCGATGTGCCATTGCAGCGCACCGAGAACACGGCCAAGCTTGTTCTCGTCGGGGAATTCCCGCTTGCCGGCACAGTCATATCGTTAGCACGCGTAAAAGCGCTCAATACAAAGAGCAAGGGCGAGGCGCTGCTGGTGGCCTTTCGGGATGCAAAGCTCAGTTTGGTAGAGTGGGACCCGGAGAGCTACAACCTCCATACAATATCAATACACTACTATGAGAACCCAGACTTGCCCGGCATTGCACCTTGGTCCGCTGATCTCAAAGACACGTACAACTTCTTGACGGCAGACCCCAGCAGCAGATGCGCCGCCCTCAAGTTTGGCACCCACAACCTCGCCATCTTGCCCTTTCGCCAGCGTGATCTCGTCGAAGATGACTATGATTCCGATGCCGACGCTCCCAAGGAGACAGCCCTGAAAACGGAGCACAAGACGCCCTATTCCTCGTCTTTTGTCCTCCCACTCACCAACCTCGACCCCACCCTCACACACCCCGTTCATCTCGCCTTCCTGCACGAGTACCGCGAACCCACCTTTGGCATTGTCGCCGCCTCGCGTCAGACCGCCCCGTCCTTGCTCGCCCACCGCAAAGACATCCTAACCTATTCCGTCTTTACGCTCGACCTCGAACAAAAGGCGTCCACGACCCTTCTCTCAGTCTCTGGACTGCCCTATGACATCACAAAAGTAGTCCCCCTACCGTCTCCCATCGGTGGCGCTCTGTTGGTGGGAGCCAACGAGATTATACATGTTGACCAGGGAGGAAAGACAAATGGCGTGGCTGTCAACGAGTTCGCCAAGGCCTGCACTTCGTTTCCCCTCAGCGACCAGTCTGATCTGGCGTTGCGGCTGGAAGCATGTCAGGTTGAGCTGTTGTCCCAGGATACTGGTGATGTGATGATTGTGCTCAACAACGGGCACATCCTGATCCTTACATTTACGCTCGACGGCCGAACCGTCTCAGGAATGACCATACAAACCGTATCCTCAGACCACGGCGGCCATGTCCTCAAGACTTCTGCATCGTGCACAGCGAATCTGGGTCGCGGCCGCTTGTTTGTCGGAAGCGAAGACGGGGAATCAGTAATGTTAGGCTGGACTGGCACGTCCAGCCAACTCCGCCGTAAGCAGCCGACTGCTGACGCCGACTCCGACCAAGACATGTCTGATGAAGAGGACGGCGATGACGACATGGAAGACGACCTCTACAACGATACAGCACCCGCAGTCCAGAAAATTACGGCCGCTGTGTCCGAACCTACGGCGCCAGGCACGTATACCTTCCGTGTCCACGACGTCTTACCCAGTATAGCGCCCATCAAAGCCGCTATTCTGCACCCCGGCAAAGATACCGAGTCTCTGAACAAGGGTGAAATCATGCTTTCAACTGGAAGGGACAAGGCTGGTGCCATTACGGCGCTGAACCGCGAGCTTCATCCTATCAGTGTTGCCACCATGGAGCTTCCATCTGCGCATGGCGTATGGGCTGTACATGCGAGGAAGGCAGCTCCCGGTGATGTCACGGCGGCGTTTGGCGAGGATGTCGAAGCGAACCTGGCGAGTGATGTAGATTATGATCAGTATCTTGTTGTCAGCAGGACCAGCGACGACGGTACCGAAAGCACGGTTGTCTACGAAGTGAATGGCGATGAACTGTCGGAAACCGATAAAGGTGATTTTGAAAGGGAGGAGGGGAGCACCATGGACGTAGGGGTTCTGGCCAAGGGCACTAAGGTCGTCCAAGTCATGCGCACAGAGGTCCGAACCTACGATTCCGAACTCAACATGGATCAGATTCTTCCCATGGAAGATGAAGAAAGTGGCAACGAACTCGCCGTCATCAACGCCAGTTTCGCGGATCCATACTTACTGATCCTCCGCGAAGACTCTAGCGTCAAGATATTCAAGGCTACAGGTGATGGCGAGCTGGAAGATGTTGAAGCAACAGGGTTGTCCGGGATTCAATGGCTGTCTGCCAGTCTGTTCAAATCCTCAAGCTTCACAGAAGTCTTTGCCTTCCTGCTAACACCAGAAGGCGGACTGCGCGTATTCGCCATGTCAGACCTATCCAAACCGTGCTACGTTGCCGAAGCCCTGAGTTTTCTCCCACCAGTGCTGGCCCTGGACTATGTACCCAAGCGCAGCGCAATCAAAGCGACCATCACCGAGATCCTAGCCGCTGACCTGGGCGATGCGACGAGCAAGTCTCCCCACCTCATCATCAGGACATCAAACGACAACCTCGTCATCTACAAAGCGTTCCACTCTCCGTCGCGATCGTCAACAGATCTCTGGACCACAAACCTCCGCTGGGTTAAGCTAAGTCAACAACACGTCCCACGATATATCGAAGACACCAGCTCTGAAGAAGACAGAGGTTTCGAAAGCACACTATCAGCCATCACCGACATTACCGGGTACAGCACCGTCTTCCAGCGTGGCACAACGCCTGCTTTCATCTTCAAGGAGTCATCCAGCGCACCGCGTGTCATCGGTCTCAGCGGTAAGCCCGTCAAAAGTCTTACGTCTTTCCACACAGCGAATTGCGCTCGTGGCTTTGCATACCTAGATTCTACAGACACGCTCCGCATCGCGCAACTCCCATCCGACACGCACTACGGACACCTCGGATGGGCAACCCGACGCATGCCCATGGACGCAGACGTCCATGCCCTCGCCTACCATCCTTCTGGTCTCTACATTGTCGGCACCGGCCAACATGAAGAATACCAGCTCGACCCCAGCGAAACCTACCACTACGACCTCCCCAAGGAAGACATGTCGTTCAAACCCACCATCGAACGCGGCGTGCTCAAGCTTCTCGACGAGAAATCCTGGACGATAATCGATACGCACGTGCTCGATCCCCAGGAAGTCGTCTTGTGTATCAACACGATCAATCTCGAGGTCAGCGAACAGAGTCATCAGAGGAAAGACTTGGTCGCGGTCGGAACGTCGATTGTGCACGGCGAAGATCTCGCGACCAAGGGGTGCATTCGCATTTTCGAAGTCATCACCGTGGTGCCCGAGCCCGACCGTCCGGAAACGAATAAGCGGCTTAAATTGATTGTCAAAGATGAGGTCAAGGGGGCTGTTTCGGCGGTTAGTGGGCTGGGAACACAAGGGTTTTTGATCATGGCTCAGGGACAGAAATGCATGGTGAGAGGACTCAAGGAAGATGGGACGTTGCTTCCCGTCGCGTTTATGGATATGCAGTGCTACGTCACGGATCTGAAGAATCTGCCTGGAACGGGTATGCTGGCCATGGCGGATGCGTGGAGAGGGGTTTGGTTCACGGGGTATACTGTAAGTTTTTTTTCCCCTTAGGTCGTATCGACGACTAGATGGTGAACTTACTGTGCTAATAACCGGAACAGGAAGAACCGTACAAAATGTCTCTCTTTGCAAGGTCAAAGCATAACCTCGAGGCCATGGCGGTGGAGTTTTTGCCGTTTGATCAGCAGTTGCATTTGGTGGTTGCGGATGCGGACATGAATTTGCAAGTGCTGCAGTTTGATCCCGATAGTACGTTCCTCTTGGGTGGACGATGGGGTGCTCACTACCTCGCCATCTTCTCTATCCCGTCTCTCCATCTCCTTTTCTCTCTGTTTCCTTCCCCTAAACAACAAATCACTGACGCGTCACAGATCCGAAATCAGAAGCTGGTTCCCGCCTGTTGCACAAATCCACCTTCCACACCGGCCACTTCCCCACATCCTTGCATCTCGTCCAATCCCACCTCGCCCTACCATCAACAACCGATACCTTCACGCAGGACCCATTGGACAATGACAACAACAACGATGAAGACGACGATGACGACAACGACAATGAAAACGCCACCCCTGCTGCGCCCAAACCCAGAAGTACAAAAAGTCCTCTCCTCCACCAAATCCTACACACATCCCAATCAGGCACTCTCGCCCTCGTCACCCCACTAACAGAAGATTCCTACCGCCGCCTCAGCAATCTCGCCTCCTTTCTCGCAACTACTCTCGATTCCCCTGCTTCCCTCAATCCGCGCGCCTTCCGCTCCGGAGCTGCGGATCACTCGATCAATGGGATAACGACGAGTGAAGGGGGTTGGGACGCTGGTACGGGGGCTAGGGGTGTGCTGGATGGGAATTTGTTGATGAGGTGGGGG